CTTGCCATATGTTTCTATGGCATAAATCAGTGTCTGTGACCTGTTTTCATTTTAAAAAAACCTAGCCTGTATGTATTTTTTGTATGTCATCGAGAGTATTTAAATGATTTTCAATCAGAAAAAAAATTTGCGATTAAAATGCGATTAATCGCGAGTTAACTTAGGCATTGATGCGATTAATCGCGATTAAAAAAATTTAATCGATTGACAGCACTAGTAAAAATATTAAAGTATTGGCAGGCTGACGTATCAGTCCATCTCTATGTTGTAAGGGATAGTCAAAGTCCAGACATTAACCTCATAGATCCTTATAGAAATGTATTCAAATCAAAATAAACTGAAGTGAAGTTGGATTTAAAAGCGTCTGCACAGTGATGTGAGAGGCTGAAACATTTTCAGACAAAAAACAGCTACTTACTGGTGCTAAAAGTGATTCTAAAACCTCTATCCCATGAATTAACTCACCAACTACAGAGTTTAGTACTGTTAAATTACAGCCGTCATCCAGGTCTATAAAACATGCACACAGTCTGCTTAATACTACAAAAACGAGGTTTACAGTATGATTGTTACCTGTTGCAATAAAAACATTATCTTTGACCAAGACATATCACTCCTAAACTTATTAATTTATCTTTATTGTTCATAAGCTTCTGAGAGCGATTGGTATCCTTAACTTTTCACGGCCTTGGTATGATTCAGCTTCCAGAGCTCTCAATCATCGCCTACATGTCCCGTTTTCCCAGTTGGATAAACAGCTGAACCAAACAGAGCTTTGCAGGTTGGATTAAGAGGGGAGACATGATATTCTTACCCACCCCCCTAAAAAAGCAGCAGTGAAAACAAGAGTAAATCATTGGTGACAGAAACTGAGCTCTGCAGCTTTATTAGACACTTTAACATGGATCTTTCCCTTTCAAACATGTATTAAAGTCTAGACATACTCACAAAAGAAAGAAAATAAATGAAAAAATAGAATATCTCTGAATATAACTTGTTTTAATGAATCACTGTGTGAGCATTTAAAATGAATACTTATATCAACTGTAATAACATTTCTAAAATATTTGCCTGGTTAATTATAGTCTTCTTACAAATTTAACCAGCCGAAAGTTTTACTAAATTCAGAATTTAAGATGCAGCTTCAACAAAGTTTTAAAAAATATTTGAAAGTGTCATCAAGAGGAAAAACTACACTGCTCAGAAAAAAAGGGAAACCTCAAATAAAACATCCTAGATATGAATGAAATATTCTCAATAATTATTTTTGTTCTGTTCAAAGCTGAACATGCACAAAAATATCAACAATTTAAATCAAATATGTTAACCAATAGAGGCTTGGATCAGTATTAGTTAGTGGAAAAATCCTACAATCTGACCTAACTTTGATTTAATGTCATTAGAACAGGTAAAAATGAGGCTCAGTACAGGCGGGCCAGTCCATAGCTTCAGTGCCTTCATCTTGCAGGACCTGCTGACACACTCCAGCCACATGAGGTCTAACATTATCCTGTATTAGGAAGAAACCAAAGCCAACGGCACTAGCATATTTTCTCACAAGGGGTCTAAGGATCTCATCTCCTAATGGCAGTCAAGTTACCTCTGGCGAACACATGGGGGGCTGTGGGGCCCTCCAAAGAAATGCCTCTCCACACTATTACTGACTGAATGGCAAACCGGTTATAGATTTTGCAAGCAGCAGATCACTCTACATCTATCACATCTGTCACTTGTGTTCAGTGTGAACCTGCTTTCAACTGTGAAGGTCACAGGGCACCAGTGGTGAATTTGCCAATCCTGGTGTTCTCTGGTAAATGCCAAGAATCCTGCACAGTGGTGGGCTGTGAGAGCAACCCCCATCTGTTGACGTCAGGCCCTCATACCAACCTCGTGGAGTCCGCTTCTAACAGTTTGTGCAAACACATGCACATTTGTGGCCTGCTAGAGGTCATTTTGCAGGGCTCTGGCGGTGCTCCTCCTGTTCCTCCTTGCACAAAGGTGTAGGTAGTGGTTCTAATGCTGTGTTGTTGCCCTCCTACGGCCTCCTTCACGTCTACTGGTGTACTGGCCTGTCTCCTGGTAATGCCTCCAGCCTCTGGACACTATGCATACAGACACAGCAAACCTTCTTGCTACAGCTGGATAGATGTGCCATCCTCGATGAGCTGCTCTCCCTGAGCCACGTGTGGGGGTTGTACAGTCCGTCTCATGCTACCACGATTGTGAAAGCACAAACATTGAAAATTACCAAAAGATCAGCCAGAAAGCATAGGTACTGAGCAGTGGCCTGTGGCCTGTGGTCCCCCCCCC